GGTCTCAGGGGGTTGTGGGAGATCACAGGGGTAATGTGGGGAGTGTGGCGCACGGGATATCTAAGGGAAGGCCGGGATCGTTTGAGTCAGCCGCGATGAAGTTGATTGAGATGGAGACAGGCAGTCACGTACGGGTGAGGCAGGTGGAGGGTGTCAAGAGCCGAGCAAGGATTGCTGATCCAAAGCTTTGGCGGATGGACAGCACCAGCGGAGCCTGCAGGGCGGTTGCTGCCCCAGGAGGTGGAGGTTTGCAAGCGTACAACAGCGGCCAAGGAGCTTTCAGCAGTGCTCAGGGCGGCCGCCTCACACTGCCTCTGTCGTCAGATCCCCGCCTTGCCCTCAGCCTCGGCCTCGGCCCACTGCCTCCGCCTCCCCCTTGGCCCCGCCCCCATCCGCAGCCGCCCTTCAGTCCGCCCTCACCTGCGCCCTGCAGCACGTTGTTGCTGGCAATGAAGACGCCGTCCGCCTGGTTCCTGCGGATCTCGGCCAGCACAGCCGACGTGTTGCGCACGCCCGCGGGCAGCGGCACCGGGAAGGCCCGGCCGCCGTCCTTGGTGAACGCCGCGATGAACGCGAAGGACAGGCCCTGGCCTGCGGTCGTGCGAGGCAGCAAAATGGGGCGCCACAGCGTGAGAGCCCTGCGTGCTCGGCCCTCTCGGCGTTGCGGGGCGACGCCGCGCCGACTTCCTTCCTTGCAGTGGGCTGCCGCGGCCACCATCACCGCGGCGCGCCCCGGGTGTGATGCCCTTGAGGCCGCGCCTGGAGAGAGAATGTCTCACCGTACGACTCGTCGCTGAAGGCCACGACGACCTTCTTGAGCCCCAGGGCGCCCATCTTGGCGGCCGCAAACTGCCCCTGGTAGCGGTCGCTGGGGACGGTCCTGCGGTCGTGGGGGGGGGGAGCATGGCGGGGCATGATGTGCGTGGATGTGGCGGCTGCATCGCTGGGAGCCGCAGGGGTGCTTCGGTGGTAAACTGCGGCTGCCAAGCTGCGGTCCGTTTCACAACGCCGTTCTGGCCTGCAGAGCCCGTGATCAGGATGAAAGGGAGCCGGCACTAATTTTTACTGCGCTGCGCCCTGCACACTCTTGCTCGCGAGCCACCCATGTGCCCACACTCGTCTGCCGCCGGCGCGCCCAACCCGCGCGGCTTTCCTTACAGTCAGCCCCCAGAAGCTCCCAGTGGCTGCACCCAGATGTCCAACGGAATGCACTTGTTGGATTGGCGCGCCCCAAATCAGCCATTGCTGCGATGCAGACTATCCAACCGCGCCCCACCCCACCTGAAAAAGTAGTCGCCGGCCGTTGAGAGGGACACCGATGTGGACGCGGGCGACACCATGGGCAGCTGGTACTTGTTGGCAACAGACGTCGCCGCCAGCGACGCGGCAGAGCAGACGTCCCCGATCAGCACGTCTGGGGGGGGGGAGGCGGGCAGCAGCGGCGGCGGCACCGGCACTTGAGTGATCTGAGCGCCCTCGAGGGGGAAAGCTGGGGCCTGCAGTCTTTGTTTCACCAGCGCTATGATCGAGGCATGAAAATGTTGCACCTGAGACCGTTGCGGCAAACCGCCTCAAGGGGCCCTCTGCCGCTGCCTCGACTGGCGACAAAATGTCAACGCGTTTCGCGCGCGATGCATGCCGATGAAGGCCGCCGCGATGCGCCGCGGCCGGCAATGGCAAAGCCGCCACGCAACGCCGCCCGAGTGGGGGCCCCCACGCCTGCTCAAGCGGGGCAGCCGCGCGCGAGCGGCCACTCACTCACGCCCTTGTCCCGCGCAAGGCGCTGCGCCGCGCGCAGCGAGGGCACGTCGGCGCACTTTGTGTCCTCGCACACCAGCTGCACGTCCACGCCCGGCAGCCGCTTGGGGGCGACGTCCCGGATGGCCATCTCAATGGCGGCCTGCACGGCGCGGCCCGTGTTGGTCTTGCCGCCCGTGAGGGGCACCAGGCACCCGATTTTCAGTGTCTTCTTGCCAGCCGTGGGGGCGGCGGCTGCCGGCGCCGACGACGCGGCTGCCGCCGGGGACGCGGCCGGCTTCGCGGCCGGCAGGAAGACCGTCGGGGACTTTGCGGCCGCTGGCGCAGGCGAGGTCGACGCCGCTGCCGGCGCCGGCGACGCGGCTGGCTTCGCCAGGGGTGCGGGCGAGGCCTTGGCAGCGGCCGGCGCGGCTTTAGGCGCGGGCGATGCAGCGGCGGGCTGCGCAGCGGCGTGCGGCAGGGCCAGCAGCGCGGCCGCGAGGCCCAGGGCAAGCAGCAAGCTGGCACCCCGCATGCCGCGCTGGCACGTCATCGTGCGTGTTCAGATGCGTGAGTGCCTCCAGGTGCTGGCCAGATTGATTGTGATGATCTTGATGCTGGTGGTCTTCAGGCTGGTGGTCCTGATGCCTGGTGCTACACCGCAGGAACCTACCGCAGCTGGCACTGTCGGGTGCTGTCTTGCGGCACGCGGCGGCGTCGACGTCCAGGGAGCGGTATGGGCGCAGCAGTGTCAAATGAGGTCTTACTGTCGAACTTGGGTGATGCGTACAGGTGGCATCAACACACACTGTGTGAAACAAGCTTGGCCTGGCTGCACTTGGGTCCCCCCCTAGTGCCGGTTGGGAGGGTCTCGAGGGTGCTACAGTGCGTGAAGGAAAGACAATCACCTGATATAAGATTCCGTGAAACTAGCGGAAGCTCCTACGCAGGGGCTCAGGCTGTCCGCTTTGCAAGAATGAGGGAACGAGTGGGAACCTATGCCGGGTGACAAGGCTGGACAGAGGTTTATGTGACCATCATAAGTTCCAACTTGTTATAAGAGCACCTCCTGGAAGTCCCCAAGCATTGTTCTTGTCACCAGCCCTGGGTGACTGCACTGCTGCCCGCGCCCAGAATACAAGCGTGGCGCCCTGCGGGACCTCTCCAGCTGAAACCTGAGCCTAGCAGAACCGCTTTGGAAGACATCAGGCTTGATATACTCGTCATCACCCGTTGCGGGCACCTTCTTCCTCACCTCGACAGCCACAGTTGCAGCGCCACGGTCACGCCACCCTTGCGCGACCAGATTGGTTCCAAAAAACGTAGTAAAGGGGAGGCCCCCCGCTTGCCACCGGAAGGCCACCGAAGAACAAGCAGGTGGAATGACGGGGACCTACACGGCGTTGTGGCTGCCCGCCGTTGTGCTGCTAGGTGAGAGGCATTTGGCTGCAGAGCTCATGCCACATACTGCCAGGGGCCGAGGCTGAGCGCCGCAGGCATTCAGTGGCCGGCCGCATGCGTCGCGCAAGCGGAGCGGCATGTCGGCCATGTCAAATGTCAGCATGGTGGTGCAGGCCAGTTTGGGCAGCATGGTCAGCTCTGCTGCGTGCTTGTGGTGCAGCAGAAGGCCAGCAGATTTCGGAAGCAGCGCAGAGGGCAGCGCGGCAAGAACACGTGCGTGATGTGGAGCGAATGCTGCAGCACTGCGGGGGAGCAAGCACCTGACGGTGCCGGGCGACCGCTGGTGGGCCAGTCAATGCTGTTGTGGCTGCGCATCCAGAATCGGGTAGATGGACAGCAGAGCCCCAGCAAGCCTTGACTTGTAGCTATGTACGGCGTGTTCTTGCGCGGTGCCAATCTTGGCAGTTGCATACGAGCTGTTGGCAGCTGCTGCGACCTGGCTCTGTGGGCAGCGCTCAGTCACTGCATTTCACTGCCGTGCACTCCTTTAAATCCAAAACGTCTCTCCTATTAGCGACGCGATATGCGCTGATGACCGGGCCACACCGGCTGCCTGCCAAACCGCACTGCTGCCACTCCTCGGCCGCCCCC